CGATTGCCGCCGTCTTCATCGCCGCCGTCGTCGCCGTCCTCGGGTTCTGTTCGGGCACCCTCTGGCCATCTCGTGGGGCACGTTGAGGGATTATCAGAGGCATCCGTAAGTATCCTGAGGGTCCCCGCGACTTCCCCCAGAGACTCTAACTACAGAAACTCCTTTCGTATTCCGGCCAGAAGCATCCAGAAACGATGTACATTAGCCCTGGCGGGGGGAATGATGGCGATTGTGATGTTCATGATGACGACGGTGACGATCCTAGCTAGAACCTAAGCGCGCGCGAAGCGCGCGCGTGGTTCTAGTATATATATATATATATATATATAAACACGCGCTCGGTCTGCCCAGGTGCCCACGCTCTATCGAGAGCGCGTGGCCGGTAACAGCAGCAGATCCGTTGTTCGTCCGATCTTTCGCTTTCAGTTTTTAGGGAGAAGCCTCGGTCCTGAGAAGGTCTCGTCGCCACTGGGGGGGTCGCCCCGGGGCCCTGGTCTGGCCGCACCCTCGGGAGGTCCTGGGGGGCAGCGGTAGCGATTTCGGTGTCTGTTCGTTTCCGTTGGGTTCTCAGGATCCCCAGAAAAGGCAGACAAGAAGAGGGGCGCGGAGGAGGAATACAGTCGGGGCGCTGAAGAAAGAACCCTTCTCGTTGGCGAGGGGCTCGGTGTTCCCTGATTGTTTCACAGTTTGCCTCCGGTTTTCCCTATGTTTTCCATGGGAAATCGAAGTTTCAGTTATGGAAAAAGGGGGCCTCGTTCCTTATTTAGGGTTTCTTAGGTCAGCGCCCCGACTGTAGGCTTGTGAGTGGGGCGCACGTCCACCATCCCATCGCGCCCCGATCGAGCGCTCGTGTTGCCCGCGGCCCCAGCGCAGCGCGCTCGAGGCCGGCCTGCGCCACCTGCGTCTTGCAGGCATGGCCCAGCCCCGTGGGTGTGATCGCGCAGCGGCTTGCTGGAGGAAGGGGAGGAAGAGGAAGAGGAGGAGGGGGAAGAGGAGGAGGGGGAAGAGGATGAGGAGGGGGAAGAGGAGGGGGAGGAGGAGGAGGAGGAGGAGGAGGAGGAAGAGGAGTCCGCAGCGAATTGGTTCAAGGCCATTGGCCGGGGGCTTCCCTTCCCCTGGGGCGGGGGCTCGAGTGCAAAGCGGCCGCGCCCTTTTTCTCCCTCGAGTGCCAAGCGGCCTCGCGCATTCCGCTGGCCACAAGATGGCCCCAAGAGAGGCCCGAGAGGGGCCCGAGACCCAAGAGCACCCCAGGAGAGCCCCGAGAGGTGATTTTGATGGCCCCAGGGGGGAACGAACATTTGTACCGCCCCCCTTTTATCGATGGCGTCCAAGATGGCCCAAGAGGCCCCCCAGGGCTCCCAAGTGACCCCCAAGAGGGCCCCAAGAGGGCCCCAAGACCCTCCAAAAGAGGCCGAAAGAGGAACACACGATCCCCCAAACGAGTCACAAGAGGGCTCCAAGAGGCGATTTTGACGGCTCTGTCCTCTTCCTCGTTGTGGTCCTCATCTTCCTCCTCATCATCGTCCTCGTCCTTGCCCTCATCATCGTCCTTTTCTTTTTCATCCACTTCCTCGTCGTCGTGGTCGTCGTCGTCGTCTTCTCCCTCCTCCTCCTCCTCCTCCTCCTCCTCCTCCTCCTGTTCCTCCTCCTCCTCCACCTCCTCCTCCTCCTCCTTATCCTTCGATCGCCCCCGCGCGGGCCCCAAGGATGGCCTGAAGAGGCCCTCCAAGGTCATTCACCCCCTTGCTCCCAAACATCTCTTTGGTTACCATGGTTGTCCGCTCTATTTCACTACATGTGTCTCTTTGTCCCTTTTTCCCGTCAACTCTCATGGTCAGGGTTTGTGAATTGGCTGGGGTCGTTCGACGACACGGAGCCCTCCTGGACCGTCTTGGGCGCCTCTTGGGATTCAGTTGGAGCGCCCTGGGGCGTCTGAAAGCCACACCCGGGAGGAAAACCATCTCTGATCCGCACCGCCGGGGGACCGCCCAGGGACCAGCCGGGGAATTTTTCGCCCGGGGACCTCTAGGGGCGGCCCCGCGCGCGCGAATTAGAAATACTGTGCATCTGTTGCAGGAGATCTTAGCACGCTTCTGGCCCGTTGGGCCGACGAGTTTTCACTGCGGGATATGGCCCACCGCAAGGCAACAACCCGAAAGTCCACGATCGTGCCGGAAAACAGCACCTAGGACGTCAGCGTTGCGAATCAACATGACTGTTGCGACCTGACAATTCTACATCGTGCCAGGGCACCGCTTCTGGGAATTCAGCACCACGAATGAAAATGACCGCTGCGTCTTGACAATCCTGAATCTTGCAGAAACACCATTCCTGGGACTTTGACCAGGCGAATCCTTCAAACTGCTGAACACTTTCAATCAAAACGAGTGCGCGCGGCGCTAAGGCGAGAGCCACATTTTGAAACGGAATCACCACGGAGTCCGCGCGGCGCCAAAATCAGAACAACATGTTGAAAGCCACCCGCCCTCCGTTTTTGACGTTGTTGCAAATTCTTAACACGAGTTTGTGCGGTGCTAATGCGAGAGTCATTCACAATTTGAAAACGGCCCGCCCTCCATCCGTGCAGTTGCTGCAATATTTTAAGATGAACGTGCGCGGCGCATTTGGCGAGAGCCACATAATAATAAAAAACGGACCGCCCTCCAGTTATGAGGTTTGGCGATCCTACATCATGCCAGAACTCCTTTCCTGGGACTTCAACACCGCGAATGAACGTGACTGTTGGGTCCTGGCAATTTCAAGTCGCACCAGAAGGAAAACCGTTCCTAGGACTTCAATCGCACGAACAGCTAAAACCAGCAGAAACTGTTGAGACGAGTGTGCGCTGCGCTAAAGGAAGAAGGCACAGTTTGAAATCGAATCGCCTTCTATCCGTGATGTTAACGCAAACACTTTGGACGAATTCGCGCTGCGCTACGGCGAGGGCCACATGTCGAGAGCCACCCGCCTTTCATCCGTGACGCTGCTGTAAACCTTTCAGACAAATTCGTGCGGGGATGAGGCGTGAACCACATCTTGAAAATTGTCCGCTTTCCGTCCGTGCAACGAATGCAATGTTTAAGACGAACGTGCGCGGCGCATTGGCGAAAACCACATTTTGAAACACGGAACGCTCTCCAGTTGGGAACGTGTTGCAAGTTTCCAGCTTCAGGATCATACGTGATGGGGGGTCTATCGAAGCGCCCGCCCGCCCTGCCTACACATCTGGGGGTGTGACAAGAATGAATCATGTTTGCGAGAAGGGGAGGGTGAGGAGGGAGGAGGTGCCATTGTAAACCCAGGAATCATCAACTATAGTGCAATAGACCCTCCCCCCAAGGTCCCTCTTGATATGCTCATACACGGATTCATTTACACGGAGGAAACTGCCCAGTTGGAAAACAGCCGTTTGAAAATCCGAAATTGTGCCAGAACACAGTTCTTTGGACACCAACGCCGCGAATCAGTTGTGTTCTTGCGCGTTGCCAAAACATTCCTGAAACTGCAACCCGGCGAACCAATGTGATTGCTGCGCCCTGACATTCCGCCATCGTGCCAGAACACCGTTGTTGGGACGGCGACCATGAGAACATCTTAAAGTGCTACAGGCTGTTAAGACGCATGTGGCCTGCGCTACAGGAAGAATTACATATTGAAAAGGAACCGCCCTCCATCCGCGAAATTCTTGCAACTGTTTAAAAAGAATGTGCGCGGCACGCTGGCGAGAGCCACGCTTTGAAAAAGGAGCTGGCCTCCAGCGTGAAGTTCGTACATAATTGAAGACGGATGTGCGCGGCGCTGGGGCGAGATCCACATTCTGAAAACGGGCCACCCTCCTTCCGTGAAGTTCTCGCACACTTTAAGACGAATGTGCGCGGCGCCAATGCGAGAGCCAAATTTGAACAGCGGGCCGCCCTTCATCCGTGAAACTGATGTAGTGTTGAAGCGTCAGGATCATACGTTATGAGGAAGTCCGATCGGCGTCGGGGTGCGACAGGAAGGAGCTATCTACAAGGGAAACAGGATGAGGAAGAGGAAGAGGAAGATGAGGAACAATGAGAAGAAACATAAGAAGAAAAGGAGGACGAGGAGGAGGAGGACGGGGAGAAACAGGAGGAAAAGGAGGGAAAGGAGGATGAGGAGGGGGAGGAGGACGAGGAGGAGGAGGAGGAGGAGGAAAAGGAGGATTAGGAGGAGGAGGCGGAGAAGGTGGAGGAAGAGGAGGAGGAGGAGGAGGAGGAGGAGGAGGAGGAGGAGGAGGAGGAAAGCCGTTTGTTTGCGGTGATATTTTCCCCCCCGTGCCCGGGTGAGGTCTAGCAGGGGGACCTGGCCGGGTTGGCCTTTTCGCGCGCTGGGGACGCCAGTCCCCCCCAGCCGCTAGAGTGTTTCTTTCTCTTGCACACCAGGCGACGGGGGCGCTAACCCCCATGAGCCATTCTTCCAGCTGTGGGGCAGAAAGCCCGCGAGCCCGCGTGGCACCGAAGATTACGGAATCACATATCCTGGTCTCGCGTACTTCTCCGACTGTCGTCGGCCAGGAGGACAGTACGCAACATCACAGTGCGCAGCACCTTCCAAGGTATCTGGCAGCTTCGATGCCACAGTGGCGATGCCAGTGTGGCGTGCGCAACGCAAGAGGGCATGCGCACTGCCGTGGCTGCTCGGGGCACAGGCGGGGCGTCCGTAAACAACGAGATCGTTCAGGTACGCCACAGGGCCACCGACAACGGACCCGCAGTCTCTCAAGGCTTCCACCACCGTGGTCGAAGTCCGCAGAAGACCGCGTGAAGGACCCACCCTTCGTGCGCATGGCGACCCCCAGCGAAGCTCTCGCGCATCCAGCGTATGCGCCGCTCAAACCGACGGCCACCGAGGCGGAGATTGCGTCCCACATGGCGAAGATAGGTTGCGGCTACAGTTCCTGTGGGCACAGCACCGCATGCAGTGGGCAGCCAAAGAGGACACAAGCAACATGCAGGGAACTATCTGTCTGCAGGCGCATGCTCATTGCTCGCCGCGATGCTGAATATCAGATCAAGCGCGTGGACGAGGCCATCATCCGCATTGGTAAGAAGCAGGAGAGCATCAGGGAACAGCTCGAAGCAGCCCAGGCCACAGCGAAGCAGGTGACGGCGCAGCTCGAGGACCTGACCGACCAGCTAGATGGAATAAAGCGCACCAAGGTCGAGATCTTGGAGATGCAGGAGGTAGAGCAGGAGTGCGAGGAGGACGTGGCCACGCAGCAGGCGATGCACGACCGGTACATGGCGAGGAGGCGGGCGCGCCGCAGGCGACGCCGCCTCCTCCGCCCCCCCCCTTTTCGGGCGCATGCGGAGCAAGGGGCCCGATGTCTGGGCTACCAGTCTGGAGGGCCCAACAGCCCCTCGACGCCAAGATGGGCCAAAAGCTGAAAGCGAGTCTGGAGCCGACGCAGCAGACGCTCCACATGGCCGCGTTGATGCAGAGCATGGCCGCGGCGACTGGCACGCCCTTGCCCGGCCGGGCCATTCCTGCCATGGCGGGTGCTGCGGCTGCCCCCCAGCCCTCCGAGGCATGCGCAGCAGCGCCGCTGTACTGGATGGAGGGTGCGCATGCGAGCGGCGGCGCTGGGGCCGTTGGTGGAGCTTCGTATGGGGCCACGAAACGCTGTGCTGGCTGGGAGGGGCGCATGCGGGCGGTAGCACTGGGGCCGTCGGTGGAGCTCCCCATGGGGCCACGAAGCGATGTACTGGGTGGGGGGGCGCATGCGGGCGTTAGCGCTGGGACCTTGGGTGGAGCTCCCTACGGGGCCACGACGCGCTGTGCTGGGCGGAGGGGGGCGCATGCAGGCGGTTGCACTGGGGCCGTCGGTGGAGCTCCCTATGGGGCCACGAAGCGCTGTATTGGGTGGGTGGGTGGGTGGGTGGTGGGTGGGGGGGGGGGGGCGCATGCGGGCGGCAGCGCTGGGGCCTCCGGTGGAGCTCCCGACGGGGCCACGAGACGCTGTACTGGGTGGGCGGGGGACGCGTGCGGGCGGTAGCTCTGGGGCCATCCTTGGAGCTCCTTATGGGGCAACGAAGCGCTGTGCTGAGTGGGGCGTCCTAGGACCTTCAGTGGGGCTCCCTACGGGGCCACGAAACGCTGTGCTGGGTGGGTGGGGCGGGTGGTAGAACTGGGACCTTCGGTGGGGCTCCTTATGGGGCCACGAAGCGTGTGAGGGGTGCATTGAAACGGTTGATGGCGATGCTGATGACGTTGATGATGATGATGAGGAGGGGCAGGAGGGCCGGGATGAGGATGAGGATGAGGATGAGGGTGAGGGTTAGGATGAGGATGAGGATGAGGATGATGATGAGAATGATGATGAGGATGATGATGATGATGATGATGATGACGATGATGATGATGATGATGATGATGAGAGGAGTAGGGAGGGGGCAGCGGGAGGAGAAACGCGGGGACCGTCTCTTCAAAACGAGGACCCAATACCACAGGATGGTTGGGACACAACCCAAGCGCGGAAGCACGGAAATGAGGACGCGTAGCTTGACATAGCATGGCGCGGCGATGTCCCAAAGTGTATGGGGGGGCTTCTGCGGCCCCAAAATCAACGAATCGGCGCCGAATGTGTAATCCCTTCGATGTTTTCTTCGGGGGGGGGGGGGGCATTTTTTTAATTCTGGGCACTTCGCGTATCCCCATCTGCTCCATAGCCTGGCTCAAGCCATCTCGGCTCGAGCCCGCCCTCGCTCAGGTGCGCACTCGGGCCTGGGCCATGTCCGCCCTCGGGGCCGCCCTCTCGGGGGCCGCGCTGCGGCGCCGTCAGCGGCTGGTGGCGGCGCGGCGGGACGCCCCGCCGGGGCTGGGCGGCCCTCCGCCGCCGTCGCTCTCGCCGCCGCCGCTGCCGCCGTCCTGACCGACGGTGGTTTCAGCCGCCGCTGCCGCTACCGCCGCCACTGCCGCTGCCGCTGCCGGCTCCCTGCCGGCGGCGGCGGCGGCGGAGGGCGCGGTGGCCGGCGCCGCCGCGGCCGCCCCCGCGGCCGCCGGCGGCGCGGCCGCCGCCGCTGCCGCCGCCGCTGCCGTCGCCACCGCTGCTCCGCCTCCGCCGGATCCCCTCTGGGCGGGCGGCGGCCGGCGGCGCCGTGGCCGGCGCGTCGGCCGCTGTCGCGGCGGCCGCTGCTGCCGCCGCTGCCGGCTCCCCGGCGGCGGCGGCGGCGGTGGGCTCGGTGGCCCGCGCCGCCGCGGCCGCCCCTGCGGCCGCTTGCGGCGAGGCCGCTGGCGCGGCGGCTGCACTGGCCGCCGCCGCCGCCCTCGGCGCCCCCCCTGCTCAGCAGCAGCAACAGCAGGGCACCCCTGGAAGCCGGCAGCATCAGCAGCAGCACCAACAGTCGCTGCAGCAGCAGCTGCAGCAGCAGCAGCAGCAGCAGCAGCTGCAGCTGCAGCAGCAGCAGCAGCATCTGCAGCAGCAGCAGCAGCAGCAGCAGGGCACCCCTGGAACCCAGCAGACCCCGCCACTCGGGGTAGACCAGGATTCAGTGCCGACGGACACAACGATCCCTCAACTCAGAGCGGCCGTTAGCTGCGACCCCGGATCAATTCGGACCCGCAGTCCTCGCGGGTTCGTCGGCCACCGCGGCAGCAGCGCAGCCAGGCGACACGAGCCTCAGCGGGCCGCAGTCGGCCCACCTTCGACTGCGCCGATAGAGGGTGGGGAGATCGACAGATCGGACAGCGACGAAAGGGAAGGGGGCCAGCCAGCGCAGGAACGGGGGGCCCAGGCCCTGGATCCTGCCACGCCCCCCCCAGACCCTACCCAGACCCCGATCCCCCCCGAACAGCCCTCCCTCCCCACTCACGGGGTAGACCAGGGCCCAGCGCTGACGGCGATAATGATACCTCAACCCAAAGCGGCGGCGAGCCGCGACCCTGGGTCCCCGCGGGGAATGGCAGATGCGACGGGTACAGAAGGAGGCGGAACGGGTCAGGAGGAGGTGCCCTTGCTCCCTGATGCCCGGGCCCCGAGACCTCAAGGCACTCTTGCATCTCAGTGCCCGAGCCATCTTCTCGACTCCAGCTGCCCGGTTGGGACAGGAGATGCGACCCTGGAGGACAAGGAGATGGAGATGGAGGATGCGGCGGAAGGGGGGGGGGGGGGAGCTGCGGAGGCCGCGGAAGATCGGGGGCCCGAAGCGGCGGAGGCCATTGAAGGTGCGGATGAGGCGCAAGCCGTCAGCCGCGCCCCTGGAGCAGAATCGGGCAGACACGAGCTTGCATCCGAAAGTGCGGACGGCAGCCGCAACAGTCCGCGAAGCGAGATCCTGGACCAGCAGGGGCTCGCCTGCCACAGCGCGCCATCCCCGCCTTCCCCACAAAATAGGCAGACTGCCAGCAGTCCTCTGGGAAGGACATCGAAGCCATCCGCCGGCTCGTCGGGAGTAACCCCTTCGCACTTATTCGCCCTCCTTCCCCTGCCAGTGAACCCGCCCGAATGGGTGGCGAACCTCAGGCGCTCCCTCCAGACGCCCGGGACACGCCTGACAAAGAAGTTTGCGTTCTGGCAATGGAAACGGTGTCGCCGTGCGCGCGCGCACCTGGCGCGACCAGCGGCGCCCCCGCGTCCGGCGAGAGCCTCGCGGCGATTGAAGGGGGCGCGCCCGTGAGCGACGGCGGGCGCAGGCCCGAAGGCGAACGCCAGCGAAAGTGGCCTCTCCCCGCGCACCTCAGGACAGCTGTCCTCCCGGGCTGCCGGAGGCGATCCGGCCCCTGCCCGGCGGCCAACTACGCGGCCCGCACCTACCCGCAGGGCCCCGCCAGGCGTGCAACCAGAACTGTCGCAAACAGATTCCGAGCCCTCCGCCCAGGACAGCGGGGCTGGTTCGCCGGAGACTTGCGGCCAGAACGCGCGGCAGCCGCGCCAGTGGCCAGAGCCCTCAGACCCCGACGCGGGACAACAGCTGTACAAAGCAAAAATCGGCACCATCCAGTGGGGCCTTCCCGGGGAGACCCGGCGAGGCGATAAGGCGGTTTCAAGTCACACTGGGGGCAATGTTCACGGGCACCTGGCACGCTTTCGCCACGCAGCAAACCGCGCCTGGCAGCAAAGGCGCGCTCGACCCGCTACGGCACGACCCGCAAACTTGCCTTCACTTCTTGTCCTCCTTCCGCAGCCACAAGTGCGACGTACGGGCCGTTAGCGACGCGCTGGGCCTCGGCGTCGACTGGGCCCAGCTGCGGCATCGGCGCCCGGGTCGAAGCGGCGGCGCGGGCAGGGGTCGCCAGGCGGCGAAGGGCCACCCGGGCACCCGCGCACCCAGGAAGGGCAAGAAACAGTGGCTGGTCGTCTCCTCATAGCAGCCGTTAGCTGCACCCCGTCGTGGCACCGCACTGGCAGTGAAGAGCCCGCGCGTGCTCCTGTCCAGCGGCCGCGTCCTTGGGCGCCGGCACCGTCGCCCCCCCGGCGGGGAGGGGCCCGCGGGAGCTCGAGGTACTCTTGCAGCCCGGTGCTGTCTGCCAAGGGCCGTCTGCCGCCACCCTCCGTGGGCGCTCCGTCTTCACTCAACCCAGAGCGGCGGTTTGCCGCGATCCTGGATCCGCACGTGGAGCAGCTGAGACTACGGGCGCGAAACAACCCGCGGGTGCTCAGGGTACTCTTGCATCCCGGTGCTGTCGGCCAAGGGCCGTGCGGCGACGAGGACCTCATCGGGCGTCTCATTCGTATTGCCCATACGGTCCATACATCTACTATTGCCGTTTCAATGCTGACTAAATGGGTCCATTGTGCATTCGAGGAGTTATTGCTGGATCTGGACATCGACGCGTGCGCCATGGCAGAGTGGTAGCCTGAATGAAAAAAACATAGTGATTATTATCGCCATCATCATCATCATCGTCATGCCCAGCATCACTGTCATCATCATCATCATCATCATCAGCATCGTCAACATCAGAGGAGGAGGGAGACGAGGAGGAGGAGGAGGAGGAGGAGGACGAGGAGGAGGAGGAGGAGGAGGAGGAGGAAGAGGAGCAGGAGGAGGAAGAGGACGACGACGAGGAGGAAGAGAAAGAGCAGGAGGAGGAACATCTCGTTCCTACTGCAATTTGAAGGTACAGACCGCAAAAGGTGAGAACAACCCGTATAATTTACGGGGCCCGTAATATTTTGAGGTTGTTGATGGTCGGGGCTGGCAGATTCTCCGGACGTTCCTAGAGTTCCGGAATTTCCGGATTTTCCGTGCAGCAATTGCGCCCCTGTCGGAGGCCCGCTCCTTACTTTTTGGGATTTTCTCGAGATCCCCGACGTTCTGGGCGTTCCGGACGTTCCCAGATTTCCCGGACGTTCCGGACGTTCCGGACGCTCCCAGATTTCCAGAATTTCCGGATTTTCCGTGCAGGCCGTGCGCCTTCGTCGGAGGGCCGCCCCCCGATTTCCGGATTTCCCGGGCATTTTTTTCCGGACAGATTTCCGGAATTTCCGGAATTTCCTTGCAGCAATTGCGCCCCTGTCGACAGGGCCGCCCCGCAATTTCGTGATTTTCCGGACATC